TCACTTGCACCCCAAGTAGGGAGTCTTGTCAGTTTTCTCTCGAGCTTTTGCCCGAAATGTTGTTCCATCTCAATGAGTACGCTCTCCTCGTGTTGAGGAATGGCCCCGAGTCTACGGATTGCCGTGCTTGGTGATCCGCGCACTTGTATTGTTGTAAGAGCGAAAGTCGTAGAGATCAAAGAACTAGTCCGCATGATATAACTACTATGATGTAGTTGTTCGGCTAACAGATACTTTTTCAAAATGATGCGAAGATAACTGCTAGATATTTTACTATGTAACATTCAGATGTCAACCCTTAATTGCCCATCTAAATGCAGTGCCATTGACAGCTGCGGAGTTGAAAGATCATGAGGAATGTACTGTGTATGTTACGTACTGTCCTCCGTAGCCACATTTGTGCTGCACTATTTGTTAATAAGAAAAAACGTAATACGATGTCTCAGCATCATCCGATAGCTCTTTTCTGAGCAAAAATCTCTTACAGCAATTTAGTAGAATTAGCAATTAATATATTGCGTTTTGATCTACCATTCTCAATATAGCAACCGGCATAATTGGTAGTTGTTGTATTGTAGTAATGTACATCAAGAAAGTTTAAGATAGTCAAATCTGGATTCAATGCTTTAAACAAGTGATCTGTTGCATGTGACATCGATGCAGAATCCTTCAATTCCACGTGCCACCATAATCATAAGCACAGAAAATTGGAGAAGTCCTGATTGATCTGCGTAATTGTATTTTTTATCGACATACTCAAACCAAAATGTTTCTTCGCTGGTCACGAGAAAAGAGCAGATGCTATTTTTCAGAAGGTAAGTGTGCGCCGTGAATTCTTTTTAATTAAAGAACTTTATAACAAGAAGAAATCTGCCATGGGTTTCCACTGAGATTCTTCTATGTAAACACCCCATGACAAGAGGAATTGAGTCGCAGTTAAATCTCCTTTTCTCAATATCACACGCCAGTAATAGTATCTGGACAGACGCTACTCGACTTTCCATAGGCCTTTTTCTAGCCGCCATGACACGTTGTCGCGTCGCTATCGTGAGTTCCATAACACTGGATCAGAACAACCCATATCATGAGATTCACATGCTTTTTTTCGATTTTTCTAGCATCAAGCAGTCAACCTTCCACGAGCCTCAACGATAAAAACAGTTTACAAACTTCAAAAGGAGAACGCTGCCTTTGAAGCTAGTGCGTCAAGAAAACAAGACCTCACGATTGTGGCCTCTTGTATCTCTCCAAAATTGTAAGTTCTACAAATAAATGGCCTGTTATGATAATAAAAAAAAGATTGAATTGCCCGAAAGAGGCTTGTAACGGGGGTTTCACGTACCTGTGTAAGATAGGGCGGGTCGCACAATCTTGTGCGACCGTACATAAGTCTGTAAAAAATCTAGAGCGTCTCCTCTTTTTGGGAGTCGTGTAAGCCATGTCAAGCATGTGCTGCAAGGGTTTTATTCATCACGCTCTAAATCCGCTCTACCTGGCCCGGGGATTAAACCTGGACCTCCCAGTTCAGAAGTGAACAGCATTCCACTGCACCACAGGATCGGTAGAAAGTTTATTTGTAATAAGACGGTGGTGTGGCTACACCGTAACAAGAAGCCACTACGTGGCGGAACTACCAGTAGCTATGCATATTAATTCGGTTCAGTTTCTTAATCAGGAAACCGAAGGTTTCAGATATAGGAGGCTCTGCCGCATATAAATGGTGTTCCAATGTTAAACAGAAGACTGTATTTGCCTTGGTTAAGGTTTTGAGTACTCTTGGAAGTAGTGGATTACCATCCGCTACACTTGTACTGATTTTAATATGGAACGTAAGGTCGGTGACCTTAGCTGAGCTTCCTGTTAGCAAAGAGCTACGACAGCCCCACTGCAAACACGAACGCAAAACAAATGATAAGTATGTCGGCTGTCGTTTTGATGCGCTCACAAGTATTACAAGCTATGTTCGTAGCTGCGAGTCATCACATAGCTTTCAGAAATAAGAGTTTGTCAAGGGTCCCATGGGTCAAAATATGGCGGGCAGTCATGTTACCGTACTTATAAAAGCGCTGCCAGCATAAGTAATCTTCATCTGTAGACTAGCTGGTCGATGTTCTTGGAAAACTAACGCCCTAATGATCCAAAGACGACCTTTCTGATAAACGATAAAGAGATATAGGGCTCAATCTTCTGTAAAGGTTAATGTGAGATCTGCGGATCCACTTGTAGGTTAGGCTTTAATCAATCCACAGAAATTGCTGGATGTAGGCACATGCAATAGGGATGCCTGGTGTGCAGGCATCGTTATTGCATTTTTTTACCTTTTGAAACCCAATTAACTTAGAAAGAAGTGTTAAGCATCCTAAGATGGATACTGCACGTTCCGGCTAGTCTCTCGAGCTAAGCAATACAAGATCACTAGCCTTATACAGCTGCTTGTTCTCCCTTCTCCTCTTTTTGCCTGATCTTTCTTTTTGCAGATCTTGAGCACTCGAGATTGCGTCTTCAACGAATCTCAAACATACTTCTATCCTCACAATGAATTCATCGTTTGAATGTTCCTCATGTCTTCTATAGCTCCATGGAATCAAAATTTGCTTTTAACTCTGTGACAGCAATTAAATATGAGTCTCGCTCGCGGGTCAGATCTCGAAGAAAACACCTCTCATACTAGTGAAGCTGGAACTTCGTTGCTCACACAGAATGAGTACTGACGCGCCGAAGTATGCGTAAGGTTGTTTGGCGTAAACTCTGCGTGGAGAGCGTCACTCCACTCTCCAAAAAGCGTCGTATAGCTATGCTGCACGACTTCCAGGACACGACTCTTACTATAAGCTTGACGTCTGTCTCTGGTTTTGCTGCTGTTGTCATCGATAGCTCGTGTACCGAAATCTAGATGCAAATCGTTGGTCATGGTTAGATACGGTATCCGGCGGCAAACCATGTCGATGAAATGCCACGCCTTTACAATTCTTTGCAGTCATCTCCTCTGGGATCTTGTCTGAGAGTTAGATCAATCAAATAGCTAAAAATGTCTACAACCACCAGGATGTTATTCCTGCCGGAATCGAGGTATAACATCCATACTTGCGGACACCCTGCTGTAGCTTTACGAACTATAACTTCGTTTTATTCTAATCGTAATTTACCGAATTCCTATATAGTCTTTTCTTCTCAAGCACAAGCGTGATATTCGTGTTGGGGGCTGTCTCGGACAGCCTTCTACAGTCAGGATCCGGTACAATCAAAATGGCATGTGCAGCGGCACCTCAATGTCAGCGACACCCTGTGTGGCAGAATACCGCGTGGAAACGCAAGCATATTGATCTCTTGTGGTTAGAAAGATATCCCACGGGACAAAAGGCGTCTCCTTTTATTTTCAGGCAAATAGACTCGCATAGCTTGAAAGATTAACCCTGGTAGCAGTACCAAAAGACTCCCAATACCGGGTCGGTAATATTTTTACCGGTGGAGTTGTATCTGCCGTTGATGTGACCACTTATAGAGCAATCGCTAGAATTTATGGGCGAGAAGTGGAGTGGCATTCTTAATGTTCATTGCGCTTTTTCCCACTATCACGACGAGGTGACGAGAAAGTTCAATAAATATTGCAGCGCGACCAGGAGTGTGTCACTTAAATAAGTTGGACTACTGAACTACGGACTCACACTTGAATGCTAATTGCAAGAGGAGCGTTGTTAAGCCATCAACAATCTTACGTGCGAAGCGCGAATCAGGTTTAATGAGACGTAGTAAATTGCTCCGTAAAAAACAAAGAAATTAGGTTAATTACCACTTGCAAGCTGTTATGGGTTGGATACTTTATTCTATAATATAGACAGACATGTGCGTCGGTTTTACTGATACTCTATTAACAAGCATTTGATCTGCGTAAATTTTACTGATACTCTATAAACAAGCATTTTATCTGCGTGAATAGTAGAATCTGCGCGAAACTCATGCTTCTTAACAAGTTTTATAAACGATAAGCCTGACAAGCTGCTAGTTACCGTGTGAATTGTGCTGACAGAGCATAATTACCTAACACGCTCCCTGGGAACACGCCAACTTGTATCGAGGCACAACTGAGAGATAGAAAAGATTGTAAGCGCATTTCTTCTGGCCTTTCAGATTCGGATGGGCCCGTTCACGTCGGCTATGACGAATCGACCTCGCCATAAAGGAACGTTTATTTCAAGCTTTCAGCGATGGTTGTGAACGCATGTTTCCGCTCAAATCTTGCTGGTATATAGCAGCAAAGGAGATATTTAGATCACGATTAGGATCTGATTGATATGGCGGATTCGCTTGCCAAATTCTGAATACACATGCTGTCTGAGTTACATGTGATTGTTCATTAGATCGTGTGTTGTTACACAGAGCGCTGCTATCTTCATCTTTGTCTCAGAGAATACTGCCGACTATACCCTAATAATTTGATACAAACCTGGCCAGTGTAATGCGGTGGCTGATGCGCTGGTGACTGATGCGCTATTGCGTTGCTCAGATTATACACTGGCACGGTAGTAGCCGAATCAACGATATGTTACGCACGATACAGGAGATAATTATAGCCTATGTTGTTCAGTTTAGAATCCATAATAATTTTGCGTGCTGCTCTATCTGGAAAACTACAAAATTCACGAATACTCCAAGTGCAACGTGCACTGCGTACAAATGTACCGTATTGTATCTTATACAATTGTACCAAATGTTTAAGGATTAAGCGCATAATATTAAGGTACTTATCTCGTGACAATGTTAGGTCTACGTCAAGCAATACAGCTAGTCCTGTTTCGAATATTTTAACGTGATTACATTTGATGCTGGCTAAAACCATAATAAAAACTCATTTCGAATTATTATAGATAGCAAATTATCTAGGTATTTTATAGGCTCTTCATTTCACGACACGAACTCAAACTCTGTGGATTTGTTAGCCTAACTCTGAGAGTCAACATTCTCTCTCAGCGTCGAATAATCGGAATCTTTGAGTCAAAGCTTCTCTATGCGAGGTGCACAGTAATTTGCTACACTTCCTGAAGGAATTTGTTTCTCCTTAAGCATTACAAAGCTACCGGGCTTTTCAGTTAGGCAATGTGTATTAACAGCATCTTAAGAAAATTTCTTATTACAGTGGTCAAGTCGACAGTTAACCAAGTGCTATTGGGTGGATCGAGTCAAATCCACCACAAATTCTAACTTCTAATCGGGGTATTTACTTTGGGAATCAGTTGCTCTGTTCATTTTCGAGGAGTGCGTCTACCCCTCTCGCCGTTAAACTGTAATCTTAACGAGAGAATGGGGCCTCGGATGTCGTTCTCAGCGGTGAATAAAAGTTATTTTACGGCGAGGCCAATTCGTCATAGAGGTCGTGTAAGAGCCCATCCGGATTTGAAAGGCCAGAAAAATTGCGCTTACACACTTTTCTATCTCTCTGTTGTACCTCGATACAACTTGGTGTGTTCCCAGTGAGCATGTTAGATAATTGTGCTATGTCAACAATATAACATTATTCACACAGTATGTAGCAGTTTGTCAGGCTTATCGTTTATAACTTTGTTAGGAGCATGAGCTGCCACTATTTGCGCAGATATAATGCTTGCTAATAGATCACCAGAAAAACCGAGATTCGTCTACGCTTAAGACGCATATTTCTATTTTGTAGAATAAAGAACCAATCCGTAACAGTTTGCAAGTGGAAATTAAATGTTAGCGTCCGACTTTCTGTGCTTGAAACGAAGCAATTTACTACGTCTCACCAAACCTCATTTGGGCTTCACACAAAAGATTGCTGATGGCTTAACAACGTTCCTCTTGCAAATGGCATTGATGTATGATTCAGTAGTTCAGGAAAGCAACTTATTTACACGGCACACTCCTGGTCGCGCTACAACACCTGTGGGATGATCTCGTCACCACGTCGTGACAGCCAAATAATCGTCATGAACTTTTAAAATGCCACTCCACTCCTTGCCCATAAATCGCAGTGATTGTTTTTAAAGCGGTCGCATCAAAGGCATAAACAGATAATATAATATCAACCGGTATAGATTGTCTATTTATATCGTAAAAATCTGATTAATATACATTACTACTGGCAGTCCATCCACGTAGTGACTTCTTGTTACGGTGAAGCAACACCATTGTGCGATCACACCTACTTGTGTAATCCACACCTTTGTAAGGTCACACTATCTTGTGTGACCCACCCTTTTATTCCAGAGTACGTGTAATCCGTTACACTCTTCCCCATCAAAATTGTGAGTACCCAAAATTTTACTGTCGCCTCGTACGAGGCTTACGTGGCTGAGACACCTTGACGTCGCTAAGAACATCTTTGAACATTTTCTGCTCATTAAAACCTGTGGTTATGACACGAAAAATCCCCAGCCACGCTGGTTCCGAGAACGCCCGCGGGCAGAGTCCTTCTTTGAACCCTGCACGCTGTATAACTCCGGACAGTACGTCAGCGGCCTTGAAGGAATCCCAAGCTCTCGGCAACCAAACTCAAGCTATGTGCATTTGTTAGATCAACTCTGAGAGTCAAAGATTTCTCCAGCGTCAAATAAGCGGAATCATAAAATCAAAGTTTTTCTGTGCAAAGAGCGTAGTAAGTTCCCTATACTTTCCCAAGGAATTTGTTTCAGCCCTCAACAGTTCAAAAACTAACGGATTTCTCAGTACAGCATTGTGGATGAACACCATATTACGGAACTTATCCCAGTGGAACGAACTCAAATCCATCACAAACTTCGATTTCTGATCGGGGCATTTACTTTGGGCATCAGTGGCTCTGTTCGTTTTAGGGAGTGCGTCACACCCCTCTCTCTGCTATAACTGTATCCTAAACGAAAAATTGTGGCCTCGAATGTCATTGCCATTCACAGCTTTAAATTTCGAATGACTATATAAGAAAACTCAGGAAGTGTGAGCAACTATAATTAGCTAAAGAAGTGAGAGAAGAAGTGTATTTCGCATTTTCCCTTCACCCTTGAGAAGCGATGAAAGAATTTAATCTCTATCTGTAATGATTAAATTAGACACAATCAATTTAATTATACATGGGGGAAATGCCGACTTCTTTCAAAATAATAATACCTTACAACAAATAATCAGAAGAAAACAATATGGCACTGCTCAACTCGTATGTGATAAGTCTTAGGTTTAGACACAAACAAACCCATGGTTTCCTGGAGGCAGATGTCTACATGCGAACAAAGCCACGGCATCATATGAAGGCACAAGATATGATGGGAAAATAATTTGTGGTGAATCGAAGCTGATATTGTCCTTTGTTCCACAACATATTTTTTCTGAATCCACTTCATAAGTTGTTAAAAAATCATAGGAAGTGGTGGCGAGGTTTATTCCTCACTGTCTATCTTAGGATGTTATATTGAGACACGTAGTGAATTCCCAAATGCGTTAATCAAGCCAGATCAACTTCCCTTGGAACTTTGTTGATCGAAGCTTCAATCTCACTCTCGAATTCTCCTGATAACCACTAAGTTCCAACAACATTAATCAATGCGAGCTAGCTGCATCTTCTACACTGCCATCGCCCTCAATGCACAGCAAATACACGGAGCTCCGGATCGCAACCTCGAAGCCTTGACAGAGGGTGATACTCTTGCAGCGATGGAGCAATTTCTTGGGGTAAAGCTTGAAAGAAAATTCAAGGACATTCCAACTTCGGCAAGAATTGAACCAGCACCTTGGAACGGCCCCATGTGGGAGACCTATGCCGACAGCATCAACTACCCGTGGCAGAGAGATCAACCATCTCCAACTGAAAAGTATGCGATGGCTTTTGGTTTAAACGTGAAGGAATTGGAGGACAAGGTTTCGGCCAAGTTCGGCATCTATTCGGTAGAAAACTCATCTGTCAAATGCGCAGGGCCTTGCAAAGGTCAAGTCGATGTATGTAGCTTTCGCGGCAGTAGTGGCGTCTGTATACCAAGATGGTCTGGTCTCAGTCATGGAATGGCTCCTGCCGCAATTTTCGAAAAAGAGCCTCTTTGTCCTGTCAATTTCAACAACGTCGACTTTCACCCGAACGACATCAAGGGATTGATCTCGGCTGTCTATGCCGATGCCGATATTGCGAAAATGACAATTTCCGGCGGGCAAAGCTATCGTGATGATTCAGTATCACTTGATCAGTATGGCCGACCCACAGAGACCTCATATCGCGACGTGACCCCTGCGTTCTACCATATCACCGTTGCCAACATCTTGGGTAAGCTCAAACGCTCTCTTATCATCGACCGATACCCTGGTCGTGCCGTCTGGGATCAGGCACTTTCCGGTTTCGAGGTGTACGAGCAGAATTCAATGACACCCGAAGAAGCTGCAAGAACGTATTTCAACACGGACAAATACCCTTTCAACGACCAGGCTTCACACATTATCCATGTTGAATCCAATGTCTTCTGGAACAACAAACCGTTTCCTACCGACGAGTACCGCCCTCTTCCTCAAAACAAAGACTTTGGCGCATCGTATTCGTATCTCCTCGAGCTGAGCACATCAGGAGACATCCTCGGAGGGGAGTGGGTTAATAAATCCATTCTAAATCATGCCGACAACATCTATCTTCATAAAGGAAAACCTGCTGCTGACTTCGTTGCGAGCATCGGCATCCGCTACGCCAACGTGGTAAAGCTGGTTGAGATGTCTGCTGCATGACTCAGAATGCGAACTAATAACCATCTTGTTTATTCAACGTATCATTTAGTCACCTTCGTCTTCTATCATTACCATAAAAATTGCTTTACTCTTAATGAGTTACACATTCAGTTAGTTATCTCCATATGACCGGATAATTTTTCTGTTTTTATTAATTTTATGAGTAAACATCACAAAATCAAGTACCGAGAGAGTCAACAACTCACAGTTCCACGAGAATCAAATTCAGATGCAAATTCGCGATGGCTTGGCGACCGACATCAACATCGTCATGGACTGGAATGATCGATATAGAGTACTCACTATTTGAGTTATATGTTAAATTCTTATTGCTATATATTTTGTAATTACGAAAGGAAGCCACGTGAGAATATGCGTTGGAATGCTCCATTGATGCTCCATTGATGGTCCATTAACTGATACGTTTTAAGAAAAGTATGAATATCTATCGAGCACCGTTTGGGCCAACATCATCTATTTGTAATAAAAAAACACTAGAACCATCGTGACAAATGATTTGATTACAAAATGCATTTTTGAAGGTCGTAAGCGATAAACACTTGCTTTGCATGACCCCTAACATAATTTCTCCTTGTTAAGTTTGCACTGCTGAATGCATGTGGATGACGTCACACGGATTATAGTCATGTTCGCAATTACTATTTTGATTACGGATGCTGATTACGGACATAATGGCACTCGTTCTTTGGTCTAGATAAATGAGATTACATTAAGAAGCTCTTAGAATGATCTAAAAGACAGTATTAGAGGTAGCACAGAATAAGCAAACTAAGGACCTAAATATATTCTCTTTGGATTTTGCCATCTTCTCAACAGCCGCAGGCAAAGCTTTGCTGCACCACACCTTCACCGGCATGACTACGAAGCGCACCGAGATCCTCGTAGGCATGGTAATTACTACCATTAGATGTTTAACATGAGGATGGCCCTCGCAAGAAAAGGGCTTCTGGAGCACGTTATGGCGCAAAGGATGAGAGCTAAATAACGGAGACGTGGCTCGTGAATGACGCTATGGCACTGGGTATAATTGCCCAGTGCATCGATGTACAATACCAAAAATTTGGTCTGCTAGTCGCCCCTTGGAAGCATGGAGAGCGCTTCGTAATTTTTACAATCGCTCCACTCTGCACAACCGTCCCCCGATGACACGTCGCCTTTATGGTTTAAGATGGAGAGTGGCACTTGCATGATGAAAGCTCTGGACGCGTTCGACATGCTGGTCGTGGGACTCCAGACGACGAGAGAACCGGTGAGCGTCTACGTTTGAGCACGAAATGCAACTACCTCCATTTCTAACGGCGCCGAGCGACTCCACTGTCCCTCGCAGCGACGCATTCGCCTGCTCCCCATCTAGGAGGCGCTTCGATCACGACGGACCTCGTCCTCAAGGACTCGAAGAGCATCACGAATCATCAGGCGGCAGACGGCCCATTCGTTACCGCCCGCCACTGGCTCTTCTTGATGAAAACGGTGACGTCCACAATCACGTGGAACGTCTAGTCCTTGACGTTGGCTTTGAGTCGCTTGAAGTCGATGAAGTCATTTCGGTGAGAATTCATGTTTGACGTCGCACCACTGTCAATCAGCCAGCTGGCTGATTGCTCCTCTCCCAAAGCTAATACTGCACCATTGCCGCTGGAACGATTTCTGGAACGTTTCTCAGCTGGGCAGTTCCGTTGCATATGACCATATGACCATCCTGGTCACAATTACAGCACTTGCTTCAAGACACTTGTCCTTGTGTGGCGCAAAATTCTTGCAATCAGTTCCTCTTCTACTCTCGATGCGTTCATCATTGCCTGTTGCACGAAATGCTTTCTTTTCCCATTGGCTTTCTTCTTCTGTAGCCTGTCTTTCTCCTTCACCAGATTCTCCTTGACTTCGATCAGAGTGGTGTCCATAGCTTTTATACGATAGAAGAAATTACCATATTTATCGACAGAAAGCTGTCCAGAAGTCTTCATAGCTGTATATATTCATCAGTCCAATTTCTGTGTTGCCGCGGGCCCGTGGGATCCGCTTCGGCGCCAATGCTTACGCGTTCACTTGCGCTGGATCCCTGGACGGCTTGAGCAAGCCCACGTAGAACACCGGGTGGGTGTGGATCCTTTTTAGAAGGTTCAGCGTGTACGCCAGGCCCCGTTTGACCACGACCTTAAACGGTCCGATAAACCGTGGATGAAGCTTCGTTCTGAAGATGGCAGAGGCTGCATGTGTAGGAAGGTTTTTGATATTTAAAAAAAACAGGTCCTCGACCTTGAAGCTTTCCACCTTGCCACTTCATCTTTCATCTGGACTTTCTTTCTGCAGGTCTTGGCTTTCAGCCATCGCATCGCGAACGTGTCGTAGGATACTCAGTT